GGACTGTGCGTAGCCGGCAGCGGCGCGGCTCAGCAGCAGCTCCACTGCGTCCCCTTCGTCCCCGAGCTCCGAGGCGTTGCTCTGGCTCTGTGACACATTGCCACTATCCCCACTCCCGCTAGCGCCCGGCGGCTCCGCCGCCTCCATCCCGCCGCGCCCGTCACGCGCCTTCCCGGTCACGTGGGCAAGAGGCGCGACTGCCAGTTTACAGGAACCGCCGAGGGTCAAACTCCACGCGAAACGCGGAGGAGGCAGCGCATGCGCCGTAGCCGAGGCGAAGCCCACCCGCCCTTGGAAAGGAGGGCGGGCGCTGTTGTGGCACGTGGGGGCTCCAGCATGCATGGATGGAGGTAGGCGGGGGATGTGCTGATGTAGCAGATACATGCAGACAGGGTTCTTCGGGTAGGTGTGATGTCTTGTATTAATTAGACCAACTAAATACTTGGGCAAATTGTTCTTTCGGGCACAAACACCCTTCTTCAGGCATAGGAAGAGGCTGCTGGTGCGTTCTCCAGGCTGGAATAGAAGCCAATACACAAAATGCAGGTCTGTGTCAATGCAGTTGTGTGGCAGCGAGGATCAGAAGGGGTGCAGATTCAGTAGTACCTGACATAGGGTCGCTGACCCTCCAGGTTTGCCCTGGAGTCTCCAGGAATCACATCTAGATCTCCAGGAGATGCTGGGAGTCACCCCAGGAGAGAAATGATGGGGCATTCATTAAAATAAATATTACATGTTAAATCTGATTTATACAGGAGTCCACTGGGTCTTTAAAATGTGCATCTGCCTTCCTGATGTAAAGTCTATGCACCATAATCTGAAACTGATACACCAAATATGAAGGCACATTTGCATTGCGCGCCACCGGCATGTTGCCATTCTGGAAACCTCCTGGAATAGATTCAGAGTTGGCAACCCTAGCCTGAAACTAACAGCAGATACATGCAGGCAGGCATTGGGTGGGTGCATACATGCATGCATCTCATCCATCCAATGCCTGCCTGCACCCGGTGCCTGGATGGAAGAATGCATCAGTCAGGCAGGTTTTATCCCATCCCCCAGCAGCTGTTAGAGAATTGCTCAGGGAAGCACCTGCAAAATTCTCATTCATTACCAGTATAGCACAGTTAAGTGTATACTACTGAATAAAAACCAAACAAAAAACCCCCACCACTGCAAGCACTGAGAATGAGATTCTTTTAAAATGCACACACACAGCTCTCTGCTGTGGCACTAGAACCTAAATCAGCAGGGCCACAGCTGCTGAAGGTCATGTCAAATCAGCTTACCAGCCTGATTGGGGAAGCATTAACATCAAGTTTTCCTTAGGTATCTCCCAGCCAAAGCAGCCACAGAGTTCAAGTTTACCTTAGAAAGAGCTGCTGCTTTCTAGAATTGTTACAGTTTTTAACAGTAACTAAGTTTTCTCTAACTGAGAAACAGAAGTTCCCCTTCTCCTTTTTCCTTCTTTACTGATTCAGGCCAGCACTTTGCATTCCAGACTTTCCCTTGTGCATGCATGTAGATAAATTTTCATTTAACTGCAACTGTTCCAGAGCACCAACGGTGAGGAAAGCTGCACTGAAATATGAGAATAACTAAAACATGACAAAAACCAGTAGCAATACTCTGTACAGTAGTGCCTGAAACTAATTTAATTTTTTTTTTTTTTTTAAGTTTCAAGCTGATCATCTTTCTTGACTGTGAATTCAAAGTCAAAGTGGGAATGATGAATTCAACTCTTAAATCCTTAATTCTATCCCATAGCAAAGTAACCTAGGCTGCGACTTTGCATCTGTGTGTAGCTTTCAGCTAAGTTGATACGACTTCCATTTCCACTCGCCCAAGGGGGTCATGCTGTCAGACAGGACACAAAACACCCAGGGGGTGGGAGATGGGCCCCCCAATTGACACAGAACAGGTGAGAGAACACCTCGAGAAGCTAGACATCCATAAATCTGTAGGCCTGGATTGAATGTACCCGAGAGTCTTGAAGGAGCTGACAGACATCATAGCACATCCTATGGCAAAGATATTTGAAAATTCGTGGTGCTCGGGTGAGGTTCCGGAAGACTGGAAAAGAGCCAAAGTGGTCCCAATCTTCAAGAAAGAAAGGAAGGAAGGAAGATCCAGGGAATTACAAGCCAATCAGTCTGACATCCATCCCTGGAAAGATCTTAGAGAAAATCATCAGCAACAGGGGGCAGCCTTCTCAATGCCAGCCAGCATGGCTTTGTTACTGGCAGGTCTTGCCTGACCAACCTCATTTCCTTCTGTGACCAGGTGAGACAGTGCCTGGACAAGGGAGACTAGGTTGATGTCATATATCTGTATCTGGGGATACAGGCTGACCTGGACACACTTGCAAGGTGGGCAGACCAAAACCTGATGGCCTTCAACATAGAGAAATGCAGGGTGCTCCACCTTGGGAGGAAGAACCAGCAGCATACTTATAGACTCAGCAGTACTATGCTTGCTAGCACCATGAGACTTGGGGGTCTTGACTGACCACAAGATGAACATGAGCCACCAATGCATCTTGAGCAAAACCAGGGATGTCATCCTCCCACTTTACTCGGCCTTAGTGAGGCCGCAGCTGGAGTACTGCATCCAGTTTTGGGCCCCCCACTTCAGTTGGGACATGGATAAGCTTGAGAGCCCAAAGAAGAGTCACCTGTATGATCAAAGACCAAGAGGGCAAGCCTTATGAGGAGAGGCTGAGGGACATGGGACTCTTCAACTTGGAGAAGAGAAGGCTCTGGGGGGACTTGGTGGCAGCCTACAAATATATAAGGGGGTGTGCATCAGGACCTGGGAGAACAGTTGTTCACCAGGGCTCCCCAAGGGATAACAAGGTCTAATGGTCACAAACTCCTGGAAGGCCGATTTAGACTGGGCATAAGAAAAAGTCTTTACAGTTCATGTGTCCAGGGTCTGGAACAAATTCCCCCCAGAGGTGGTGCAAGCACCTACTCTGGATTCATTCAAAAGACATTTGGATGTTTATCTTTCTGGGATCATTTGACCCCAGCAGACTTCCTGCCTATGGTAGAAGGCCTGGACTCTATTATCTCACGAGGTCCCTTTCAGTCCCTAATGTCTATGAAATCTATGAGTGAGTCTGGCTTCTTATATGTCCAATTTAATGGAATTTCTTTGAAGGAGGATTTAATATTTAAAAATAAGAGCGACTGAGGCAGCTATTGCTGAGAGAGAACAAAGTCCTCTTCTGCCAGAAAGCAACTTGGTGTTTTTCAACCTAAAAGTTGCTAGTCTTGGCCTGCCTGCTTTCTCCAGTTGCAGCAGTGTTTTCTCCTACTCAGAATTAATTCATCTTGCATGGCCAAAAGTATACCTGGGTTATATTAACAGGAGTGTCTTGTGTAAATCAACGGAGTGATTCTTCCAGTCTGTTCAGCACTGGTGAGGTCTGACCTGGGCTACTGTGTCCAGTTTTGGGCTCCGCACTTCAAGAAATACATGGAAAGATTCTGGTGCAGGGTGACAAAAATGGTTGTAGAGGCCTGGAAACGTCTTACAAGGAAGGACTAAAAGAAGTAGGATTTAGTCTTCAAAAGAGAAGACAGGAGGGATATGTGGCTGTAGGGGACAAGACTAGGAGCAAACTGCAGCAGAGCAAATTTAGGTTGGAGGTTAGGGGGAACCTTCTGGCTATGAGGATACTAAACTAGAATTCTGTTTAGATGTGAATAATAATAATACAAAAATCAGCTATTTCTACTGAAAGATGTAAAAGGGGAGGATAGATGGGTGCAAAACTTCAGCCAGCCAGAAATCTACTTACTTATAAAAGCACAGTAGACCTTCAAATAACACTACTTTTATTGATAACCGGTCTGATTGACTGAAGCAGGTAATGGCACAGTAAGTAATTAGGTGCTGCACCAACATCCATCACATAAAAATAACTACTTTTGGAAGGATACAAATAAAGTTGTTGTAAGATGAAGTAACAAGACTGATATTTCACTCTTGCTAAGCCTGAGCAAATTTGCTTATGGTGCCTAGAACAGCAAATGAAAAAATATTAATAAATAAGACCAAAAATAAATGCACAGATTTAGTTCAATGTCCCAAAGCTTATCTAACTGTTGCTCATATGTATTTTAAATTAGTAACAGGAAATTAATCCACATACATCTTTCCTCTAACTCCAAAACTGAAGTCATCTTTTAAAACAAAGTGTTCCAAATGTTTCAATTAAAGCAGTATAATCAAGTAAAAAAAAATCCATTTCACTACATTAAAAAAGAAAAAGCTTTAATCCACGCTACAAAATTAAAAAAAACCCAAAAGAAAATGACACATAAGGTAGAAGTAGAAAAATACATTGTACAACATTTATATTTTGTTCCTTAAACTGTTGGATATTACAAAACATTTTAGATTAGACCTTTTTAACACCTCATGGTATTTTCTGTAGCAAAGAAAAAAACTGAACTGGAAGTAAATGGGTTTTCTTTTGTGTAACTGGTCCAGTTATGGTCTTAAAGTTGGTAGTGTAAGCAGTACCAATAAAGATCTTTTAGTAACCTACGACATAAGTTGTATTTTAAATTCCTAAAAAGCTTTGTACCAGACATTTCAGCCCCCTCCCTGATGCTTGATGACAACTGAAGGGGTCTGAGCAACCTATTCAGTTAGCCTAGAATGTTAGTCAATACTGCTTAAGTGTAACATAGCCAGTCTTTTACAGCTAAAGACTTTGTGGATTCTGGTCCCCCCCCCCCACCAAAATAGTGAGATGCTTTGTCAGTTATGCAGTTTAGGTCATGGTCTTAACCCGTGTCTTGTATTTTTGCTGCCTTCCTGCTTATGTCCCTTAAATTAACAGTAATTGTTTACCCAACAACGAAGATGATAGAAACCATAATCTGGTAAATTTTGTCTAATAAATATTTAAAAAAAGAAAAAGAATGCAAAGAAAAAGAAGTCAGTTAAAAACCCTCTAGGTAATCTATTTTCCTTTCCACAATTGGTAAATCAAACGTAAAAAATAAAGTTTATAACTCAGACAGTACTGACACTGACCAGCAGGTGGTGCTGATCTAAAAGGAATAACAGCATCAACATCCTTCTTTTCCCTTCTCACTTAAGACTTTAAAAATATATATATATATATAAATCTCATTTGGTCAGAATTTATTTGGAAAGAGTAACTGCAGCATTTCCCAAACCTGGCAACCA